AGCTGGAGGGGTTAAGTTGCAGCCCCGGTGTCTTCGCCGCCTATCTGGACGCGGTGGGGTGTGAGTGCCCGATGGCCCTCCTCGGCTGAGCTGCTGAGCCGCGCAGTGGTGGTGGCTCTCCAGCGAGGGGAGGCTGGGCCCTTTGGCCGAGTCGGGGGAGGGAAAGAAGGCCTTACTCCTCACAGGCAAACTCCTGGCCAGTAAGAATGTGCCCGAAATAAAGATCTAGTATGTGGCTTCCACAAAGAAAAACTTTCTAGTCCAGTTGAAAAGTTCTTGAAGTAGCCGTAATTATACAGCTGTTCATTTTAACTGCAGGTTAGGTCAATGTAAGAGTCTGTAAATACATCCAAGACTTGCAGCAAGCAAAACAGATCAAAAAAGAATGTGAAATATGATGTTTTACTGTCTTTGTTTTATTAGAGGAAAAACTTGACGGAATTAAAATGAAGCACGTCACTGACTCCCTCTATGCTATCCCATCTTGTAAATACCTAAAATGAGAGCTGTAAATGAAGTATTCTCTAATTGCCAATTGTTGCTGTGGTTAGCATCTGTAGTTAAAATGCTCAGAATGCTTTCATTATTAAGGCATATCTGGACCCAAATTGCACACCTTTGACCATGTTGTATTGTTAAACTGGGCAATCTTCCCCGCTTGAAGTGTGACTACATTTTCTTCCTGTATGAAAGCAGTCTCTACTGTCAAATGCATTTCTAAGTATTTAATATGTGAAAGGGAATAAACTATCCCAATGAGAGATACATATACCTGTGTAACTTCACTGTCAAGGAACTGCACCTTCGTAATTATAGTAAGATCAATTTGCTACCCAAAAGCATCTCTACATAAATAAGACAATACTTTCTACACAGCTGCATATGAATTATTAATGTTATTGATTCTTTTTCATAAATAAAACTTGCTTTAATGACATTATATCTGAGTATATCTTGTAATGGATTTTGCAAACTGTAAGTACTGTTAAAATTGCAGTTCAATTTTGCTTTTGAAGTGTAACTGCCTGGTTAAAATAGATTTGTGGTGGAAAAGCTACCTGCTGAACTAAAACCATATAGCATGAGAAGCTATTTTGTTTGGTTTTTCAAAAAGTTCATTCCAATAGTCTGTCTCATTAATTATCTTCTACAGCTGGCTAGTCAAGCTGAAACTGTTGGAAAAAGATATGTGGTAGAAGGTGAGATTTTCAATATGCTCATGTAGCATATACAAAATTAGTAGAACTGGTTGGCATGCTATTAGCTAAATAAGTGAAGATAATACATGTTTGAGCCAGGTTATTTTTAATAGCAAAACTTGTTGCCCACCTTTTGAGCAGATAATATAGTGATAAATGCAGGAAAATATGCCAAAAATATGCTTCTGTATATTAAATACTTTTACTTGTTTAACTCTGGATCAGACCCTAATCAAAAGATGCTGAAAAAAAAAAACAACCCCCAAAACCGCAACAAAAAAACCCAACACCAAACCCAAACCAATTTCAGCCACAGCATTTTAGCTTTATTTTAATCTGGCTGGTTTGGATGTTAGTTATGGAGAAAGCAAGCTGGGGCCATAGAGGGAGAAGACTCAGCAGAGCAACTTTAATCCCTAAAGGTTTTGACCCTGAATGGGATTGCTCTGTGTCGCAAGGCAGCGTGTGAAGCTTGTTTTGCCACGAGTCATCGCTTTGTTCCAGATTTTCTGGTTTCTATCCTGCTGCAACCTGCAATTTTTTTTGGTACAAACTAAATTTTACTTATTAAATTGTTTTTCGCGATGCATTTTGTTCTAATGTATTCTGTAGTGAGTTTTATAGCAATCCTGTCTATTACCATGTTACATTTTGGGCTCTCCTTTTCAGGCATGCTTGCTGTCAGTTGTCACGGTGCCACCTTTCTTCCAGTGGGGGAGGGTGAACAGTAGAGCATGCACAAGACACGCAATACGAAGAAATATGAAGTTTTACCTATAGGCATGTAGGCAGCTTCAAACCACACTCCTTTGTATTTCATCTCTTGTTTGTCTTCCTTTTCCCTGCCTCCTACATACTTATGTAACAAGGCCTTATTTCAGGCCTAATTAACTATATATGTTACTATGGGGGGTGGGGCTTTGAAGGATAGATGGATTTTTGTCTCCTCTTGCTGTTTAACAGCATCCTATTATTTGACGAAGATTTTTTTTTTTAATTCTCTGTGTTTTACTAGAGTGTTGCAGAACAGCCCACATCATTTTTAGAGGCACATCATTTTTAGAACATTTGTCTAGCTTGCTTGTTAATTTTACACTGAATTTTCTAAATAAAAATCATTGCTAGTAAATTAGCACCCATTAGTAAGAACAGAAAACTTTGTTAACAACTCAGTATGATGGTATTTTGTGGTTAATTTCTAAGACGCTTCTCTTGTGTGCATTTGCTTTAGAAGAAAGACCTCCTAATGGCTTTGTTTCCCTACGGGAAATACTTCATAAATGGGTTTATGGAGCGTCTTAATGATACTAGAGATGAGTAGTGATATATTTTTTTTTTTTTCTTTTCAATTGTGAAGTTTGTGGTGAGGAAAAAAAATAGTGGTCTATCATCTAAGTACTAAATTTATGCTTATGTCATATCTTGCTGAAACCTCTGCATGCCTGAAATTTGAGTGGAAGCCTTTCAGTTGAATAGTACACATACCACTTCTCTGTTAATTAAGAAATCACCTCTTTTCAAGAGAACTGAAATATGGACACCTCATTTTCCTTAATGAGAAGATTAGTACTATTGTACTAAAAGTTGATCAACTTTAGTTGAAAATCAATTAAAAGTTGATTAAAGGACTTTAAATCTGTATCAGAAGTATGTGCATTCCTGTTTTGGTGAAGTACTTAGTATGTGTTTGAGATTTGTGGGCAGACTTTGTGGTTGTGCTTTTAATTTTTGTTGTTTCTTTTTCTCTTTTTCCAGATGATCGTAGTTTCCCCTCTAGAAGAAGTGGGCAAACCAATTAGGAGTAGGAAACAAAGAGTATAGCAATAGAGATGGATGAACAAGCCCTTTTAGGGCTAAACCCAAATGCTGATGCAGACTTCAGACAGAGAGTATGTAATTAATTTCTTATCTCACTAATAATTTGGGATGCTGTTTCATTGTAGAAGTCTCATGTTTTCTTGGGTAAGACGTAGGGGGTTTGGGGTTTTTTTTGGTTAACCAATACATAGGGTTAGTGGTGGCAAGTACAAAATAGTCATGTCACAAGCTTGTAAGCTGAAGGTCATGGGTCAGCAGTTCTGTGAAATTATACTTAACATGCATAGAATTTATTTTTCTGGGCTCTGACTTCTTCAGTCCTTTCAATTCTTTATACTTGTTGTTGAGCTCCCTACACAGGTTCCCTTAGAATGAAGAGCAGCCACTGAAAACAGTGAGTTGCTTGCAATTGACCTTTTAATTCTTAGATGTGTTTTTATTTGCACGGATTACATACCTGTAGTGTTTTTTAATGAAATGTGTGTTTTTAACTAGTGAAGCTTGTGTTAGCATAAAGTAGCTTAAGAAAGTAACTGTGGTATGTGGATAACAGTTACTTCATAAGGTAGATGCTCCTATGAACAGGCATTACAATTTATATAACTTCTGCATGAGTAAATATTTCTTCTTACTGATTGATTATTGATTATCAAGTTGATTCAACTGTCTACAAGATTACTTCCATTAAAATCTGTCAGAAATGAGGAAACCTTGGGTTTGTGTTCATAAAAAAAATCCTGGAATGTGTAATACAGTGAAAAATGTAGTTTGATGCAGCCTAGTATTGTTCAGCAGCCTGTTAAGTATGTTGGTTCTGCATATTTGTCCTTTTTGCAAGGATGGATATAGCTAGTATTTAAAGTTCTGTTAATAGAATATCACTATAAAATTTGAAGCTTATAGATTTATTGACCTTTTAACTATGCACTCTGCCTGATTTTATAGTAAAAGATGACTTAACCTTTTCATTAATCATGTAAGATATTTGATACTCCCTTTGCATGTTACAATTTCTAGTAACACTGTTCAGTATAAGAAAATTTCCAGTACTCTTTACAGGAAATGAATTATTGTTTTAAGAACTTATTTCAACTCATTTAATACTTGGAGAAATTACTTTGGTGAATGGAAGCAATTATAAACTAATGAAGAAACAAAAACCCCAACCCTTTAAATACATGTATTCATAGAATTGAGATAATGTTGTCAATCTAATCTCTGTTTCAGAAGTTACTGTTCTGGTTTTTCTAACAGACCACACTAAATCTTAAAGCAATTAGATCAAGTTAACTGTTTTCAAAAGCTATTTAGAAATTCTGATAAGCAACCTGATAGCTAAAATTTGGTAGAAATTTTCTCCAGTCTCTATAATAGATTCATAAACTGATGAGTGGTCATTGTTTGAATGTTTCTCAAGCTTGGTGTCAAGTACAGCCAAAATGGTGCAACAAAAATAGTGAGTTGTTTTCAGTGAAAAATCTAAATTAGTTTCTCTTTAGAATTTGTGGAAGGAATTTTAACTTGGATGTGAACTTCCACCTAGATGGAAAGGCCCTGAGCAACTTCCTCTAGTCAACCCTGTCTTCAGAGATCACTTCTGACTTAAACATTTCTGATTCTATGACTAATATTCGAGTAACAAAAATCTTTGTATTGAATGTAAAGTGGAAATTAGTAACTATGATACTAGCATTTGAAGAAACATTCTTGTGTTGTGGTAATTAGGGAGCCATATAAATACTTGCATGTATCCAAATACTGTTTCTTTTTTGTGAAGAGCAGCTGTTTAAATGTGAGTCTTAAGTGTGAATGAGGTGTGGTTTGTTCTTTTTTTAAATGAGACTTACTTGAATGTTTGCAGGCACTAGCCTACTTTGAACAGCTGAAGATATCTCAGGATGCTTGGCAAGTCTGTGCAGAAGCATTAGCT